GGGGGGTGGGTGGGTGGTGGAGTGTGTGTGTGGGGTGCATATCATCCTTTCAGAAGGATTTTTTAGTAGAACCAGTTAATTTAAACATGCAGTCTGAATTAATTTTTTAAATTATTATTTGAAGTGCTTAGCTGAAGTGAAGCAATTAGCTGGTTAGATCTGTCTGGTTAGCTGTCTTCAATACTTTGAGTGGGATTAGCTGTACTGAGAAACTATGATAGAGTTGTTTAGCTAATGAGTGATGAGTGTGACCTGGTGGACCATGGTAATGAGGTCTGCAGGCTGTAAATGGAGTGCATGGTGTCATGCATGCAGTCATCAAGTCACAGCTACTAGCTTGATTTTATGCTCCCACTTAATTCTAGATAAAGTATTTTGGCTGTTGATGAGAGCTGTGCTGAGCCAAAAGAATATGTTAAGTAAGCATTATGGGGCTTTGTGAGAAAGTGAAGACAGTACTTTGTAGACATTCTGGAAGAATGTATAAAGTTAGATAAGTCTAGAAGACTGCAGTGAAAGGTCAATATTTGGAATTCATCATGCGATACAGCATTATAGATAAAATAAAACCTTTCAATATTTTGAATGAAGCTGATAGCTCACAATTCCACTCAGCTAGTTTGGCTTTGATAAGATGGAAGATGTCTCTTGTTCTGGGTTAATAATAACTGATAAATTTTTTCATCCTTTAGACCGTTTTAATGAACAAGGCTATTATCTTCTCACATACAACATGTGGTTTATAGGTTTTTTTTAAAACAACAAACTGTGACATCAGGATCTGTGATTCAGCACCAAGCAGTGCCAAAAAATATAGAGACGGATAGACAGATTTTGCTTCATCTTCTTAGAGCAACTCCTCTCTACTAGCTTCCCTGTCTAGGATGCCCCTTTTTTTTTTTTTTTGTTCTTTTCTTAATTTTCTTGCTCCTCTGAACTTGTGTTGGTTTATTTAAACACTTTTATGGTATAAAATGTAAGGCTTTAAAGGTTAACTGTAAAAGAGTTAACTTTTGTTATTTTTTTCAAAGGAAAAATACTTGGAAAAGTGCTTTTCTCTTAAATGTTTAAGCAGTGTTTTCTTTTTTTTTAAACAGCCAAATTTTCTATAGGAATTTGCTGATTTCAGAGCATATGTTAGGACACTGGTGGAAAGAGGACTTAAAACAGTGAAAAAAGTATTGCAGTTGTGATGTTTTATATAAAATATCACATTTTTCACAATGAATACTGTACTAGTCATTTCCATTGGCTATTCATTTTCTCTAGTTTTCTGTAAGCATGCATTTAATTGACTACATTGTATAAATGTTTTTAAATCTGCATTTTGAAATGCCAGTTTTCCCTGTGATTCACGGAAAAAAAGACTGTTTTCTCTGTATCACCCAAGGAGAGTATTTTTGATTAGTCATAGTATTTGAGCAAACTTTTGAAAAAAATGAGAATGATGGAGTTGGAAAAACAAATGCAAAGTGGCAATCTATTAGCAAAATAGATATTATAAATTAATATCTTTTTTTTCTTTTTCTTTTTTTTTTTTATATTTGTATGAATGACAAAATTTGTTCCATATTTTTCTTAGGAATATTTCTTCCCTTTTGGCTCTGCATCTTATACATCATATTGGGTTACTATCTTCTTAATAGATATTGCACTCCTCTACTGTGAATCTTGTAAGATCTATATGATTTAGATAATTAGCTTTTATAGTTTTGCTAAAGCATTATTCTATTGGCAATTACACAGTGCTATGTGCAGTTCTGTTCTTGGAGGTTCTTATACAAAGGATTCTGAAAAGGTAGCTAATTTAATCAGAGAACAAAGGTTTACAAAGGAAACTTTTTTCTTTCTAAATACTAAAATAGTGGTCAGCGAAGACTTGGCTACTGCTTACTGGCTTACTGGGTTTTTCCAACTGTTTTGCTAGTAACTAAGAAAAACTAACTTTGCAGAGGCATGTTGTGGAGACATTTTTTGGATTTGATGAAGAATCTATTGATTCAGAAACATCATCTGTAACTTCATATAACACAGATAAAACAGACAGGACACCAGCAACACCAGAGGAAGATTTGGAAGATGTAAGTATAGATGATTTGTTCTTCAGTTCTATAAAAATTTAAATGGAGTATAAAAGTAAACATTTTTTTAGCTACCCTGCCACAGGAACTATGAAAGATTTGGCAGAGAATTGCTTTGTTTTCTTTCAATTGCAGTAACACATCCACAGTCATTGCAATAGAATTATTAATATTCTGCCTGACAGATTTGGCAGATATTGGGCTGAGAAATGAAATAGTTTTTCTCAAACCCTTTCTTATTAGTCAGAAGAAAATGAATAGGCATATTGCTTTGCCAGAAGTCAAATTATTAGACAATAGTTTGCTTTGCAACCCTATAATTTATTTGACTGTTTTGATACAAGCAGGATTTTCTTCCTGTGCTTACAATACTGAGAGAGGCTTTTGCTATTCATTAAGGCTTAAATGATCATAGGTAGTAAATGCCCACTGACATGTTTTGTCTCAGCTCTGTGATATACAGTACAGCTGGCCTACTTTAAAAGATTGTAGGACTGGACAAAGGATGAATCAGATGCTCTTTCTCATCTTTCTTTCCTGTTCACTAACTTGTGCCTAATACTCCTCAGTCACAGGAAGCTTCATATTTTTATAGGCTTAATATCTAAAATATTACAATCTCTTTTTCTTAGAGTTCAAGTTCCTGGAACAAAAATTAATTAAAGGGAAGGACATTTCTTGCCCGCAGAATTATAGGAAAGACCCTGAAAGTATTGATGTCAGTTGCTCAAAATTCAAAGAAAATTAAGATATTACAAATACTTTATGTTAAAAAAAAGAATTTAAAAAACCATCTTACGGCTTTTGAAATATAACTTCTGTGTTTAGTGTGCTTGTGCTGGTAAAACGCATTACTGTGGCATAGCAGAGACAAAGGGTAAGGGAGTGATGGACTGCATGACAAATAGAACAGACCCCTTCTGAAGCCCCTGTGGCAGTGGAGTTGCTGAAGACAGTGATACAAAGAACTGTTTCCTCTCATCTTTCCCCAGTCAGTTGCTTCCCATTTCTATACATTACTGACTTTTATAGTGACTTACACTGTCCTGAAATTGTGCAGTCAGAACACTTACTGATCTCTGCATTTCTTCATCATCCTCAAATCATCCTTCCATTTCCACTTGCTTTAGTTTTTTAAATCTTTATTAAACTTTGAGACTCAATACTTAAGTTGTGTTGCTTGTTGCATTTGTGAGCCTGTCTATATATATACAAACCCATCATCATACATATTTATCTTTATATGTGCAAACCCACTTCTTTTTCCCTCTTCATTAAGAGCACACCTAAAGAAGAAGCTGAACTAAGGTTCTGCCAGCTAACAAGAGAGTATCAAGCTTTGCAAAGGGCATATGCATTGCTTCAAGAACAAGTTGGTGGAACCCTGGATGCAGAGAGAGAAGCAAGGGTAATTTTTTAACTGACATTTCTTTTAACTCTGAAATCATTGAAAAAGGTTAAAAACTTGTAATAGCGGGAAATATCTTTGCAGGTCAGTGAAATGCAAAGCACAATGTTTTTTAGGATAAGAGGATATTATCAGTAAAGTGACAATTTAGATTCATCTGGTGCAATCCAAACAAAGCTATTATTACACTTCATTATAGCATGCATAGCAATTAAAGATTTCAGTAGTAAGATGCTGCTAATGAGAATGATATCCCAATTGAACCTGCAATTTGGATAACCTCATGGTGGATTAAAAAATGAATTGGAGAGTAGGTTGTTATAAATACTTAGAGATTTAAAAATCTGACCCAAATCTGACAAAGGAAGTTTTTCTTCAAGCGTTTTGTTGAATATATGAAATTATATTTTGTTTCTAAAAATCTCAGTTTGGAAGTATTCTTCCACTAAGATGTACATAACTAATTGTTGTTCCTATTAGGTCAGCATGTGCGATTGTTTACTCTCTCTGAAATAATGTTTTTTTTATCCTCACAGCAATCTCTGTACTATATGTATTTGGGGTGTGAGAGAGTATATACTCTGTCTTCATTTACCTTTCTGCCACCATTGTGTTTGACCATTTAGTGTAGAGATGGGGTCAGCAGAAGTCATGCTAACATCTTCAATTCTTTTTTTTTTCCAAACTGGGGAGAAGAGAAATCACTTCACAATGAATTGGTGAGCTCTGACTCAGTCCCCAGATCTATTCACTGAACAGCAGTGACATCAAAAAAGAGCTGAGTTAACCTGAGGCAAAATTTCTTCTACTTTATCCTAACTCCTTGCAGACAGGGGCATGTCTAGAAACGTAGTATATTTACAAGTCACCCTCTGCTTGAATAACTGTCGTGATCAATGACCAAAGAACATGTAACATTCAAATGAGAAAGCAGTAACCATAGGGCTGGAAACTTCATCATCTTCACCTCATGTCCTCCATTCTGCATGAAGTACAGCTTGAACCTGTAGATTGCTGACTGCTGAGAGATGGCTGATGTCACTGCGAGACCACTCTCAATTATGTTTGAAGGGTCATGGCAATTGTGGGAGGTTCCTGATGACTGTAAGAAAGCAACTGTCACTCTTGTCCTCAGGAAGGGTGAGGAGGATTTGGGGAACTGAAGTCTGGTCATTCTCACCTTGGTCCCTAGGAAAGAGATGGAGCAAATAATCATGGAAACCGTTTCCAAATGTCTGAAAGACAAGAAGGTGACTGGGACTAATCTGCATGGATTTATGAAAGGGAAATCATGCTTAATCAGCTTGAGAGCCTTCTATGATGAGATGACTAGCTTGGCAGATGAATTGAGAACAGTGGATGTTGTGGTATCTTGACTTTAATAAGTCTTTTGACACTCTTCCCCATAAGATGCTCATAGACAAACTGATGAAGCACAGACTAGATTAGTGGACAATAAAGTGAACTTAGAATTGTCTGAAATAGCTTAAAGGGTTGTGATCAGTAACTGAAAGTTCAGCTGGAGGCGTGTCAGCAGTGTTGTACTGCAGGGCTTCATACTGGGTCCAGTACTATTTAACCTCTTCCTTAATGACCTGGATGACTGAACAAGAGTGCACCTGCAGCAAGTTTGCAGATAACACAAAACTGGAGGGCTAGTTATGAGATGGTTGTGTTGCTATTCAGAGGGACCATTTGACTGCCTGAAAAAAATGCGTAAAGAGGAATCTCATTAAATTCAGCAAGGGAAGGAAAAGTCCTGAATGTTGTGAAGAACTCCATGCATCAGTACAGACTTGGGGCTGGCTTGCTGGCAAGCAGTTTTGTACAAAATGGTGTGGCGAGTCCTGCTGTACACCAAGTTGAACGTGAGCCAGCAGCGTGCCCTTGCAGCAAAGAAGACCAACAGCCTTACCAGTGATCACCAATGGAGGTGATCCTTCCTCACTACTCAGCATTGATGAGGCCTCATCTGGAGTGATGGGTCCATCTTTGGGGTCCCCCAGTACAAGAAAAACATGGTCATGTGGGACAGAGTCCAGCAAAGGTCCATGAAGATGATTAAGGTCTTGGAGAACCTGATAAACAAGGAGAGGCTGAGAGAGCTGGGACTGATCAACCTGGATAAGAGAAGGCTCAGGGGTATCCTATCAAATTACTTGAAGAACTGATGGAGGGAGTAAAAAAGATGGAATCAGACACTTCTCAGTGGGATCCAGTGAAAGCACAAGAGCACAAATTTAAATACAGAAACACAATTTAAACATAAGAAAACCCCTTCTTCCTCTGAGGGCAGTCAAACATTGGAACAGGTTTTCCAGAGAGACTATGGAGTCTTCATCCTTGGATATATTCAGAATCCTACTGGACAGGTCTTGAACAACCTGCTCTAGGTGCCCCCCTGCTTTGAGCACAGGAGTTGGACATGTGATACCTTCCATCTTCAGTGAGACTGTGATTCTAAAAAAGTGTTTGAGCAATAAAAAGAAACCCTAACCTACTTGCTCCCCCTTCCCCCCCCAAAAAAAAACAACCCTGGACCCCCCAAATGGAGAAATGTGTTAAATATTATGAATTATTACATACTACTGCCTTGCTACAGTGGCCTTCATTGTATTGTGCCAACACGTTGCTAGTAATGCAGAAAGACAAAGATTTTAATGTGGTTTAAAAATTACTGGTGGGGATAGACTCGATTTATCCCAAAGGTAGAAGCTGCCACTAGCTTAATGTTTCTACTGCTTAGAACAATTAATATTCACAAACTACATATTGTTGGATTGCAAATGGTTATTATGCATACATGTTCACTATTTCATCCATGTAATTTTCTCTGGCAAGCATTTTAAAATCTCCTTACTGAATATTTTGAAGTATAGAAATAGTAAGGTTGTAGGAGCAGAATTTGTGTGTGTTAATAAGCAAAGCTTTCCAGATAAAAGTTACAGAAAAATGTAGACTCTTTGACATTATCTGGTGTTATTGACAACTAAAAATGTTAGTCTATTATCCCTAGAGCCAGTATTTAGAAGATTCAGGGTTTACTTTAAAATGTGTCATGTTTTAGGGTTTGGGTTTGGGTTTTTTTTCAAGGTTCTTCGAAGTGGCTCTCAACCAACTTTTTTTTTTCTGTGAAAAAAACCCTTGTTTTCCTGCTTCTTATAATAGTAGAATTATTGCTTTATCACTTTATTTGTTACAGTCCTCAGCATCTTACAAAATCCTAGTCACATTTGACACTCTCTTTTTAAGTAGGACACTTAGCCAAGGAAAGCAATAAGGTCTTTAGAGATCACTTCTCAAGCTAGAATTGGGGCGGGGGACATAATTACATCTATTATTAAAGTAAGATTTCAGAGGCACTCATGCATTTGACAGTTACGAAAGACCATTATATATTACCCTTGCCTTCATGGGCAGGGAGACCTTGGTATGAATATTTTTGTAATACGTTTTTAAAATTTTCTTTTGCAGGCTTTTGCAAACTGTCCATTTAGTACACTTTGGAATGGTTGCTCTTTCTTTTTAATGGCATTTTGGTCTCTTTTGTCACATCAATGCAAATCCATCTTTTGAGTGAGTCAGAAAGTAGCTTTTTGCATGATTTGTTTTGTAGGAACCCATGTTCTGGTGGAATGAACATTTCCTGTTATTTTTAGATGAGGCTAAATGTAAATACCAAGGACCCAAAGATGCAAAGGTGCAGAAGGAAATCCCTATGGGAATTTTTGAACTGATTGGGTGAAAGAGTCCCTGAAGTAGCGTGAGAAAAGTAATTGAAGTAGCTCAAGGAGCCTTGGTGACTGAAGGTTCTCCAGACATATGCTTTGGTTTATATCCTTTTTGTTTAGTACCTTGTATTATTTGGTCCCTTTTAGGGCATCACTGGACTCAGGGGAAAATACTTTCTGTAGTGTAATAGTTAGTGTAATAATCATGTAGAATAAGGAAAGCATTGTATGCTGTTTATGGGATGGATAAATTATTTTGGGTCAGTATATTTTATTTACCCATAGGCCTTTTTCAGTGCTTATAGCAATTCTCTTACTCTCTTGCCCTTCTTTCTCCAATTGCCTTGAATTACTAAAGCATATAAATAGCTTCTTATAGCTCTTTCAGCTCCTAACATTTTCCCCCCACCCTGGGAAAAGCTTTCTCACTGAATATACGATAACATCTTTGTAGGCTGTGAAGGAAAAATGCTGTTAAACCGGTGGCTTTAAATATTTTGTAACACAAAAGCAGTTATTTTAATGAAAAATATTAAAAGCTGAATGGACGGCCCATAAGTGAGCAGAAAATATCTTTACTTTGATTCTGTGTGCAATTAAATCTATGAGTCTATCTGGATGTGCATGCGTATACACACACTTTTTAATACTTTTTTCCCCCAGACTCGTGAACAACTGCAAGCTGATCTTCTCAGGTGTCAGGCAAAAATTGAGGACCTGGAGAAAGCTCTAATCGAGAAAGGACAGGTAAAAGACTCTCTTAATGTCCTCTACCACATCATTTTCTCCCTTGCATGCAGTGGTGCCCTTGCCATGTTCATTGCATGCTGGTATGTTAGTTTGACGGATGCAGCTTAATTGCTACTCCAGCAGTAGATTGTTTAAATAAAGGAAAGTATCATATAGGCTAAGAAAATGCCATTAATTTTATAACACATAATACACTAAAGCATAATATAGAAATAACTGTGTGTACATGCGCTGTAAATTCTGTTTCCATTGTCATTTGGTGCAGGCTTTTCTCCTGTTTTCCATTTTGTTTATGTTTGCTATAAATTCCAATAAAATACATATTCTTTATTTGTACTGGAGAATATTTTTGGTGCGTTGCATAAAAAAAATTAAAAAATCAAATCACTTCCACACATGCTTCAGCTAGATAAATGAACCACTTAGTGCGTCTGGTTACTGCGAGGTGATTGCAATGATAGTCTCCTGGGTGGAGGAGCCAACTGCTTTCAAATTCTCATACCATCACACAGACTACAGTTAGGCCTTATGCTTTAGTATATCTTGTAAATACTTGAGGACATGGCTAGTGGTGCATATTTAGTAATGTCTAGGATCTTTAGTAAGGCTGATTAAGAGTTATGACAGCGCATTTTAAACATGTTCAGTTTCATAACTTCTAGAATGCACTGAGAAAATTGAGATGTTATTTTATGCTTTACTGTTTGAAATATAACAATTTTAAGATTGCAAGTACCATATAGTAATAAAATAAGATATAGCTATCCATTGATATACATTGCAAAGACTAATGATCCTGTAGCAGTGAATAAAAACAACCTATGAATAATGCCAAGTTCATGATATCACTATTTTTATGGTGTATTCTTTGTAAGAAAACTTTCTGTAAAATTCTGTATAAATACAAAGGTTTTGGGGCCACACTGAAATTAAGGAAAAAAATTATTGCTGCTAGCTTCCATACAAATTGCAATTTACTTAGTAAATTTGCTTAGTAAATAAAATATTAATAAAAATAGAAAATATGTTATCAATCTAAAAATAATGGCTCACTGAGCTTTTGAAAGAAATGGAAGTGAAGACCTCTCGAGGATCTACTGCTGACATTTTAGTGTGTTGGTCATAAAGGTGGTGTGGGCAAATTACTGTGTAATTTAAAACATTAACAAAATAGTTGACCATTACACTGTGCAATGTAAGTAGTGTTTATGTAAATAAGATAACAAAAGATGGATAGACATATACAAAATTACTTCTGTGACTTTTGCTTCCAGAATGATATGTCAAAAAGGTATGCCGGGAAGTTAGAATTTAATTAGTTATTACTTTGAGATTCATAACCACATTTTCAACCTTCTATCTCTTAGTAATCCTAAGAAGGCCAACAGGGATGTAACAAGGAGCAATATGGTATTGTCTCTAGTGGGCTAGTTTGTACGCTGAGCATTAGCTTTCCACAGAAGTGGTCACAGTGTCTTCCTGGGAGCTCTAGCACCTGCTTGGTTCTCCTGACCTGTTAGTACTTGCATTCAACAAAATAAATGGTTCTGATGATAAACTGACTTCTTTGTGCACTATGTGATTTTTTTTTTTATTATTACTATGTCATTTAGATTGTCACAGTAGTGACGATGATTTAATAATACTTGAGAAATGTTAATTTGGGGAAAGAGTCCCTAAAGTGCTTTTGAAAAGTAGACAATGAACCAAAAGATCCTAGTTTATTATCCCAGGAATTTTTCGTCTTTACATCTTTAGGAAGCAGAAGCAACAAACACCTTTACAACTTTCCTAAAGTCAAATTCCGAGCAGATTAGAATCTCATTGTTAAAAAATGATTTGAAGCTTGGCTTATAACAATTTACATGTAATTTCAAAATAAGTGTGTCACGTCCCACAACAAAGTGTCAGTGGCTCTTGTTAATCTCTCATCAACCCAATCTGTCAGAATTCCTCTAGATGTAATATAATCCATTTCTGCAAGGTACATTGAGGTGCATGTCTAAGAAACTTTATATTAAGGGAATAAATTCTTATAAAATACTAATAGTGGCAAATAATAAATGCTTATTAATAGTGGTAAATAATAAAGATCAAAATATTGGAATAGTTAATGTGCCAGATGGATATTTATTTTTTTTTCTGAATGTTCAGCTTTCTCAGTGACCCAGTGTGAATACAAATACAATTCCATTGGAGTTAAGGTTTTCTCAGGAAGTCAAGTTGAACTTAATCAAGAAAGACAAAAACTTTAATGATCTATAGGGTAAACTAATCTATTTGTTTTACTTGTGTGAACTGGAGTTGTTGAACCTGCGGGTCTGATGTAACAGTCAAACCTGCCTTTTACCATATGCATGCATTGGGATATCCACCCTAAGTCTGTGAGTGCAACTCTGTTCCTTCCTTGACCTTGGTAAAATGATAGTTAAATGTTAAACTAGACACTGGATTTTATTTTCAACATTTCTTTCCTGTGTTAAAAAAATTATTGACAAATGAGTACAAATAGTACTCATTTTAGTGTATTATTCTTAGTATGATACAACAACTCTGAAGAGCTTGTTTACTGCATGAAAGTTAAAATGCACTTGAGCGTTCTTGTGGGAAAAGGAGAAAGAACAGTAGAATATGAAATTGTACTGGACAGTCATAGGAAAACTGACTTTAAACTTTTTTAAAAACTGCTAATTGAAGTAAATATATCATGATGTTTTAGATTTTTTTAAATTTGATGTTTAAGGCTGGTTAATTGTCTAGGAAATCCAGATGTCATTAATCTCTTGTGCAGCATCAACGTGCAAATACCCTGCTGACAAAGAAAGTATCAGCCTCAATACTTTAATAAAAGACATTTAGATTTCAAACAAATTGTCCTTTTTACTTAAAAAAAAATTATCTGGAGTTAGTATGGCCTAGTAAGTGTTGGATATTGTTTTATTAAACTTTATTAGAGTAGTCTGAGCTAGGTTATATAAATATTTTTCTCTACAGGGAGAACAGAGCAAGTCTGGCTGTTATAACTCATTGAATGCCCAGCTGTGGCTGGCAGTTTTTTGTAGCTTGGGTCTTTAAAGGGATATCTGAGGTCTTTTGAAACCATGGAAAAACCTAAAAGGAAAGATCAGCTTTGGAACAAGTGATTGAATGGAAATAGAGTTTTCAAATGGAGTATAGAACATACATCACCTTCTTTCCTCTATAGCCTTGAATTCCTTATCACAAACATTATCACACTTTTAGCAGAGGGCAATTAACTGCATAACACTGAAGCTTATTTTCAGTCATTTGGGGTTTTTTTCTCTTTCTCAGTAGGGATTTGCATACACCACTCAATAAGGGATGGTTCTGGAAGAAAGTTCCCAACTCTTTATGATGGAGAGAAATAGTTTTGAGTTAAGCTGAGTAAATAAATGGTTTTTAAATGACATTAGACATCATATAACTGCATTCACCCACAACTGCTATATCTAAAGATTCTGAAGTATATGCTCAGTTGGAACATACTAGGAAACAAGTCACAGCTTTAGGAAAGAAAGGAACTTTTATTTTCTCTGTAGTTTAAAATGCTATCCTTGAAATATTGATAACTTTGGTTTTTATGTATAACCATTTTTATTCTTGAATGTACAGTGATGTCTGAAATTTTCTAATTACTGTGGTCATTCATCTTGTTTAACTACATATATATAATTTTAATATTTTGAATCCTCTTCCTCATAGGATTCAAAATGGGTAGAAGAAAAGCAGCTGTTAATCAGAACAAACCAGGAGTTGCTAGAGAAGGTACGTGTTCAGAATCTGGGAATATTTTCATGATTGCTGCTCTTTATCATAAAAGGAATAATAAGAGGAGATGAATGTACTGGAACATCAACATGAAAATTGCTTACTTTATTTCTCTCCAGAAACAGAAATTCAGGTAGAAGTCTCTGATTAAGGTGCCAATATGCTTTTGTAATCTTTGGGAATGAAGCTGCTCCTTATTGTGGAATTACATGTATAGCCAACAGTAGAACCCAAGCTGGGTAATGTTTCTAGTGTCCAACATAATACAATCTAAAATATTAAGTGCAATGTGGACTCTTGTGTTTTGCCAGTTACACAAGAATTATTATTGTCATGATCACTAATAAAATTGCCTACTCCCTCAGTCTCCTATTTATTTTTACAATTTTTCCACACATTATTTAATACTCATTGATTTAAGACTGTTGTATCATTTACTGTCTGAGATACTCAAAGCTGGGCATCCTCATTGTTCTTCACTGATATTGGTGGGAAAGTTAGCTAGTAATCAGGAAGTAAAAGAATTATTTTTGTTAGTTAGTAGCTCAGTATTAATATAATAAAAATAAGATAACCAAAGAAAAATTTATGAGTAAAAGTAGCTACAGCTGGATTTAATTTATTCAGGCATTTACAGGGGTATTATAAGCACTATAGAACATTATGCCAGATGTTACACTTCTATGTAGTTTCATTTATAAAAAATCACCCCATTAAGATAGACAGTAGACCAAATCTATTAATTGGCATAATAAGTAGTCAGTTTTGCACCCCAAAGCACAAATCTGGAAAACTAAAAAGTAGGCATTAAAACTCCTCCACTATTGTCTTTCACATACTGTAGGTGTGAAAGGTAGATGTCTAGTTATGCAAAGACAGTGAGAACAGCCTACCCAAAAGTTAATGTAATCCAGTTTCATTCACTTGATTTTAAAAAGAAAGCTTGTATTGCTTAACTTAGATATAATATTCATATAACTTTTAATACTACTTCCAGATTACTATTCTAAGAGAACTTTGACCATTTTCTGTTAGCAGTTCTTACAAATACTTTCTGCTGTTCCCTCTTTATCTCCAAGACATTGCCCAACATCTAATGAGAAACTGAAATAATAAACAGTTTTGTCTAACCCCCCTGGACAGTATCTTTTGCATTGCTTACAGGGTGTTATGATGTGTTTGTCTCGTAGATTTACAGAATGGAACAAGAAGAGCATCAGCTGAAGAATGAGATGCAGGATGCAAAAGACCAGAATGAGCTGTTAGAATTCAGAGTGCTAGAGCTTGAAGTAAGAGATTCTCTCTGTTGCAAACTCTCAAATGGAGCAGAAATTATGTTTGAACCCAAGCTGAAATTCCTGTAAAGGTTACTGATGTCTGGTGCATGTTTAAGGGAAATCACTTAGGTATCTATTTTTTAAATGTTGTATCTTGGGATAATGAAATTGATGCCACTGCCTTAATATGTTTTGGAGAGAGTGCTCACTAATGTTTATGAAGATGTAATATAGCTAATATATATTGCATATAGTTTGTTTTTCATCTAATAAAATATTTTGTTTTGCAATATTTTTGCCTTTTTTATTTGTTTCATTTCCATAACTGCTCCTTTCCTGCATGTAAAATCACTTGGTATGTATACTATAGCCTTGGTTGGCATTATTTAAATTAACACACCTTCTCACATCTTGCATGCAGTGATCTCACTAAAGATCTGACACATCCATCACATCAATCTGTAATTGTTTTTAATTACATTGATTTAAGATTGACAACATTAATATGAAGTAAAATTATCTTAAAAGAACACATCTTGGTAGCAACTTTGAAAGAATTTCTCTTACCTGAAGTCCATTTTCTGATGGTATAAAATGTCATGGACTGGAAATAATTGACATCAGTCAATGAAAAAAGGAAAAGATACCATCTGAGAATGTCAAAGTGGTGAAGCACAAGTACAACTTCTGTGTGTAAAAGTAGTATGTTGCCCATGGCGAACAAATTCTGTACTTCACATAAATGAAACGATAGCAAAATTATTTGTTAACAATTTGAACATGTTGCCTGTGATTTCACTAGAAAGCAATGGTTCTCATCACCTTGTAAATGTGGCCCATGTCAAATTTAGTAACACTAAACTAGTTGTGTGTGATGCACAGTTGCCACACAGTTATATTGCCTGATAACACATTGTTCATTTTCAAAGATCATCAGCATTCTTAACACCATTTAGAATAAACTCTCCAAGAAACCTGTCATTGTCACTCTTCCATAGTTTTCATCACACAGCATGTTTCACCAAAATCCTGGCATGTGTAACTTCTCTGATAAAGATTAAAATGTCATGTCTTCCTGTATGTGGATGTTCTGCTTCTTGTCTTTGACATTTCTTCATAATTTTTTAATCCTTTATCAATCATATATTTTGATGTCATAGCCCATTATATTAAAAATTATGAATTTAGGTTAGTAGAATTTCAGTAGATATTTGGGAAAATAAACATGCTTTCTAATACATACCTTTATTAAGTAACTGTAAAGTAAAATACGGAACAATTTAGCATTTGAATTGGCAGTTAGACTAGAAACTGCTTCCTAAAGTGTAAGTGTTCTTAGAGATAAAACAATCCGAAAAATTTTCTTAGGAAAAGAAAAAAAGTGCTTCAATACATCCTTCATGAATGTATTTTTCACATTGGAAGAATGACATGAAAAATAGCTCACTGTAATGTGTCAAGTTTTATCATGTGCCAAATCTTTAAGGACTTGTTTCACAGAATAACAATGGAAGTGTTTTTGTGTGATTTTGCCTTGGTAGGCAAGCATGTAGGCACAGATGTGACTGACAGTGTGAATGCTTTAGTGAAATCATGAATGCTTCTGGTATTTTTTGAGAGCACCTAAATTATTGACGACGAAAATTAGTCTAGGATAGAAAAACCCACATTTGTTTATCGTTTAATGCAAGCAAATTCAGGTGAGTTTAATACAAGAGAAACGGATTAATTTTTAAAAAATCTAAAATGGTAACTGAATTTAGACAAGAATTAAGTCTCTGGGTTTGGGTCACGACAGCTAGGTCATTTAAGCACATTCCAAAATCAGACTGTTAATGCAAATACCATTTAAAATAGAGCTTAATGAGGGGGAAAGATGTATAGAATACAAAGATCTTTCTCTCTACATTTTAATATCAAATTAGGTTTAAGGTAGTTAATGAAAAAAACTTGTCATGCTTTTTAACTTGCATAAGTGAATGGATGCAGCGCAATTGCCATATCAATTAAAGCACCTCATTTCTTAATTTAGAATATGGGGCAATGCGTGGATGGTCATAGGAACTAAAATGCAGTAGCTCTCTTTCATTGTACTGTTGGAAACTGAAGTTCTTGTTGCCAGTGCCTCATCTTATAATATGAGAGGAAATCTGATTTTCCTCACTTGTGTTGCCATGGCCATAGAGAATTGAGTAAGACCCAGTGTCTTGGCTGCCCAGAGCATTTAATTCAGTCATTTTCACAAGCACATTTAAACTAATGCTTAAAAATTTAAGTAAAATTGCTTATTTATTGTTTTACTGTTTTTCTACCTTCTGAAGAAATAATAGGTTGGTATTTTGAAGAAATATATGAAAGTCAAGTAGACGAGCTGGATACGTTTTAGAAATAGTATAGTTTTAAATAAATGGGAATTTATAATTTTTTGTTTTGGCACAAAGAACATCATACGTGCTGGTTTTCAACATATTCCACCATCCTGGGTTGTACAGTGAACAGGACAGGGGATTTACATGCTCTGATAGAAAGGGTGACAGTAGAATAAAGGGGAAGCAGCTACACAGCTTTAATTTCATCGAGAAGGTCTTCAGGGATACTATTTCATGATGGAGCTTAAATTTTTTTTCTGCAGTTTCTTTGTTCCATGAGAGAGAGCAATAGTTAAATAAGGTTATAACAAACATAAAAATACTACACTTTTTTGGACGTCCAGTCAGTTATTTGGCCGGTGTGCAAGGGTTTCTGCATCTGAGGAGTGTCAGTTAACTTTTCAGAAACTGTGTGTGCGTGGAATCACTTAGAAGCTAACATCATTTTTGTGCTTAGCTAAAGCCAAAATCCTTCAAATATGGTGAAAGTAAGAAGAAAAACCATACATTTGAATGTGAATAGGAATCTGCCTTTTAAATGTACAAGTATGTTTTGTAAAGGTGGGAAATAAATGTTTACATATAATCACACGTGTTGTTTCTAAACAAAATCTTTCCTCAGGAGAGAGAGCGAAGGTCGCCAGCATTTAATCTTCATATAACCACCTTCCCTGAAAACAATGGAAGTGCACTTCAGCTGTTCTGTCATCAGGAAGGAATAAAGGTATATGTAGAGCATTAGTAACAGTTGGATGACCAGGAAGTTTTTTGGAATGGCCAACCCAATATCCAAACAAATGATTTACCATCTTTCTGTGGGGAAGAAAATCTGAGAAAAATATAGTAAGAAAAGATATTTTTAACTGGGGGGAAAGGGTTTTATAAGAATTTAATCTGATAGTCTGTCAGGAGTTCATCAGTGAAAACAAAGGCTGATCAATCAAGATAATTTACATTTAGTCTAAGGTACTGCTGTAAAAACACTGAAGAGAAGAATGTGGATGTTGATGTAATTCACTGTCAGTCTTGCTTCAGTACTTTGTTCTTGATATTAAATGTTTTCATCTAAGGTCAAAATTATGACATTCACCTATTATTTTGTACCCAATTTAGTGAAGCATCTCTGCATTTTGTTTGTTGAATAAATATGCTTAAATTGTTTGCCTAGGCCAGGGCCTTGAAGTGTGAAGTGTCTGATCCAAAACTAATTCAAATAGGTGAGGCTCTATCTATCATTTTAGATCAAGCACACGATGAATGTTGGGATCTCACCTGGTTACTGTCTGCTGTGAGGAAGCAAGAATTACTCTTTTCTGGTCTTGCTTGAATAGGCTAGCTGTACAAATTGATTTACATGCTGGTTCACTTAAGACTGAATTCAGACGTGCTTTGTTAGTAATGTTGCACAACAGGCCAGGGTAACTTTTCTGTGAGTAACTAAAGTGGAATATCACTCTGTGTAGTACTCCATGGCACTTGCTAGTAACTTATGCTTCTATTTGTAATTTGGTTTACAAGTCCTCTTCTAGAGTGCTTGTTTCTATTAGTGCCTTAATAAGCACAGTAATATCTGTAGTGGAAGTAAACTGAAATTGTAGACTGCATATTGTTAGGAAGTTGAGTAGTCTAAAAGAAAAAAAAGTTAAAACCTGATTCTTGCCTACAGGTTTGGTTGGGTAGTTATTTCCCAGGCCACACCAAGAATCATCAGGTAGCATATTACCTTTTAAATAGAGCCTCCATGGGATGCCAGACCTGCTTATCTGTTATTCTAATTTGTATGTTGGCTGTAGCAGGTACAGTTTACCAGGATCTAGAATTCCTGTTTTTTTCATTGTCTTTTTTTTCAGTCTGCCTTTCAGTTCACTTACCTGGAAGCAGGAGCAGTCACCACATATGGGCATACTGAAATGGTTGAATTTTTTATCCATTTTCAGGGTCTTTCAAAATTGTTAGCCATCAATATCAAATTAGATTCTAGAATGATGCAAAATCTGATTTGGTTTCTAAATCTTCCTATATGCTTCATCATGAAAATTAATTAGAATGAGTATTTCTGGCTCAATAGGTGCAAGAACTTGCATGTCTTCCTGAATTTCATTCTTCACTAGTGTAACCGAAGTTTCCACTGAACATTGTCAATGCTGATCATAATCAATAGTTTTAACACTGATCCAAATACAAGCGTGTATTAAACTCCACACCATTCTAAAATTACTGATGTGCACTGTTTAGTAGCTAATGTAACATTTGGAGACACTGCTGAAGTATTTGGGGAGACAAAGAAGAGAGGGAGGAGACTTCTTAGGATAGACCAACTTGAACACAACACGTTATTCCTGTTTTAGAGCCAGGTTGGACTAATTTGTGGATTCTCTCCCACATCTGTGTCTGGTCTTCAGGAAAGATTTCATTTCTTATTAAGCCTCCCTCACTGGAGTCTGTTGGGTATAGAAGAATGCGCAAATATATTCTGGTGTAGTTGTATAGTTTGCAAGCATAGCTAATATAGCTTTTAAAAATTTTAACGACTGATAATCCTGACTATCAACATAATGAAGCTGCACAACACATAGATGTAAACCAGCATGTTACTTACTGTAAGTAATGAAACTAGTGAGCCAAAACAGCCCAGTGAAATGTTGGCATCTTCTAAGGAGTGATAAATATGAGTAGAAGTTGAGAGTGCCAGCATTTAACAAGGCTGTCTTGTGTTATACATGCATAATGAGCATTTTAGACTCACATTAACTGGTCTTTGCCCATGCTCTCAAGCCTTCCTACCTTCACACAGCACAGTTGCGTACAGGCTGTCAATGGGAATGATGCCCAGTCCATGTTAATGTGTGGATCATACTTTGGATAGTTCAGGAGAATGTGATTAGCACAGATTAAACAATACCATGAACCTTTCCAACAACTTTTTAAAGTACAAAATAGAGTTCTGGGGGCTAGGAATGTACCCTGGCACTGTGTAAAATACAGACCATGTGAATGTCTTCCTCTTTTTTTGTATCAGAGGAGTGTTTTTCTTGATTTCAGTCACTGGGCTTTAGAAAGGATAGTTTATCCACTGAGGACTGGCAGAGAAATGTGGCTTTTTACTCACAAACGTTATGAGCTGATAGTGTTTAGAGGGGTGTGTTCAGCCTATTGTGCATATTCCCTTCTGCCACTGTAATGCTGATTTGAAACTCCACACTTTTGTTTAACAAAGAAAATAAAAAACAAATCAGCCAACAAACCTTAGCAACTATTTTGTTCATGCTCTCTGTCCTTTTAACTTGTGTAGCTTGATGTGCTTGATGATCCACTCCAAACAGAAGAGTCCTTTAAGCCTGTTTATCGGTTTTGATCTCTCAAACTCTCTGCATTCATCAGCAGAATGATAAATGTGAATGGTACAGTAACATTCTCCCCTCATACACAGACATCCCGGTTGCTATAGAGATTAGGTTTTGTCTCCAAAAGTATCAATAAAACATTTGTAATTGTGATGTGAAACTAATGTTTCACGTATTTACATTTCAAGTCTTTTTGCATGCAGAAGTGGGTAAAGGGTACATAAAATGTAACATAACCTGTTCCTCACCTACTTTTTAAAAAATGTGTTGAACATCTTTTTCAGGATGTGAATATATCTGAACTTATGAAGAAGCTAGATATTCTTGGAGATAATGGGGTAACAAATTTTTAATTTCAAATATACCTCTTGTTTTATGGTTAATTTAAACCAGGCTTTTTTATTTTCCCACCAGAGAAAATAACATTCAAGAATATGCACAGGGTGATTTTTATATGCCTATATTTGTATGAACAGTATGAGTGGTTAGGTACTACCTTTACAAACTTAAAAGATAGTCTTTCAGTTAAACTGATGCTAGTGAAAATGTATTTTCCAAGATAGGATTTGATCTTCTCTGAATGGAATGGAAAAATGGGACTGTAGTGGGCAGAGGGAAAAGATATAAAACAGGCAAGGGGGAAAAAAATAAGGAAGACAAGGCCAGACCAAGTTATTCCTGAATTTTTCCTCTTGAGTAGTACCTGCTACTGTGAAGGATGCCTCTTCCAGGAGTGGATTTTCTGAGAGGAAGGCTAAGGATAACTGGTCCCTTTCTTGCCCTGTATGGCCAAATACAGTATAAAATCTTGATCATGCAGTTAGGGCACAAACATCCATGGAGCTGGGTCCAGTTTACAGGTAGCTTTAACAGTTTGAGGTCTTTATAATACTAGTTTTAAGCTCTAGATTTACTTTTTATGTTGAAAGTTTTGTGGATGTTTCTATGATACTTGCTGTTTATTTGCATTTTTGTCATTAATGGGAAATCTAGCTCTGAAGTGCATGAGAGCTTGCTGCAGGGCTGTAGTCCAGTGAACAGGCGTTTTTCTGCCTAGAAAAGAAAAAAAAATTTCAAAGTCACTGAGAGAAACCACTTAATTTGAATTGAATAATGAACTATTGCAAAAGTGCTGTGTGAGTGGTGTACCAAAATAACATGGAGACTAAGTACCCTTGGTTTAGATTTTAATACTTTCCATTATGAGATCCTGTCTGATCATGTTTAAGAAATCCTAAATGTTATAGCAGATTTATTCTTTAAAGTACAGTTAAAATTTATTGCTTGTGTTCAAGGATGGATCTCCCATCCAATTTAAAATGAATCTTTTTGTATTTTAGAATTTGAGAAATGAAGAACAAGTTGCAATAATCCAAGCTGGGACTGTGCTTTCCCTCTGTGAAAAGGTAGAACTCAAAAAAGAATTTTCTCTGCCTAAATCATGTTTTCTAAGATATCACATATCATTGCAGGGAAGCATGGCTTTTCTGTTCAGGTCATCTGAATTGGAGCATGTATTCATCCTTATATGACTGTTGGGGTTGTGACATCTTGAGATAAAATCAAACTTGCAAAATAAACCCAATTTAAAAATAAAAATATGTTTTGGAGAGATACCCTTAGAATAAAGTATTAAAAAGCCACTTAACATAAGAGACTTCATTTTTAGAAGTGCCAGAGTGCCCAGCTCTCTGGGAACAGGGTTCTGTGAAGTCCTCTGTAAGAATTATAGAATCATTTAGGTTGGAAAAGACCCATAAGATCATTGAGTCCAACTGCAAACCTAACACTACCAAGTCCACTGCTAAACCACGTCCTGAAGCATCACATTCACAGGTCTTTTAAATACCCTTTCAGTCAAATTTTTTTTCTAATATCCAATCTAAACTTCCCCTGGTGCAGCCTGAGACAATTTCCTCTCGTTCTATCATTTGTTGCTTATGAAAAGAGACCAAAACCCAACTCTCTACAGCCTCCTTCCAGGTGCTTGTAGAGTGCAATAAGGTCTCCCCTCAGCTTCCTTTTCTCCAGGCTAAACAACTCCAGTTCTCTCAGCTGCTCCTTATAGGACTTGTACTCTAAACCCTTCACCAGCTCTGTTGCCCTTCTTTGGACACCCTCCAGCCCCTCCATGTCTTTCTTGTTGTGAGGGGCCCAAAGCAGTATTTGAGGTGTGGCCTCACCAGTGCCGAGTACAGGGGTCAGATCCCTCCCCTGTCCCTGCTGGCCACGCTATTGCTGACACAAGCCAGGATGCCATTGGCCTTCTTGGCCACGTGGTCATGCTGCTGGCTCACATTCAGCTGGCCGTTGACCAACACCCACAGGTCCTTTTCTGCCAGGACAACTTTCCAGTGACTCTTTGCCAAGCCTGTAGTGTTGCATGGGGTCATTGTGACCCAAGTGCAGGACCTGGCACTTGGCCTTGTTGAATCTCTTACACTTGGCCTCAGCCCATCTATCAAGACTGTTCAGATCCCTCTGTAAAGCCTTTCTGCCCTCAAGCAGAAACTCCTGCCCAACTTGGTGGGCAAGTTGCAAACTTGCCAAGGGTGCACTGATCCTCTCATCCAGATCATTGATAAAGATATTGAACAGAACTGGCCCCAATATTGAGCCATCGGGAGCATCACTTGTGACTGGCCACCAACTGGATTTAGGTCCATTCACCACAACTCTTTGGGCCCAATCATCCAGCCAGGCTTTTACCTATTAAAGAGTACCATGGTCCATTTTGGGCTCATTTCTGTACGAGACAAAAATCTGAGTGGTCTGTAGTCCTTTTCTCTGCCACTTAGTGGACATAGATAATGAAAAAGTAGTTTTACAGTATAGGTAATCAGCCAGGTCACTCAGTTCTGCATGACTAGTTCTCCAATTACTGTAGAGAGAATATAATCTGTATATGAATAAAGATGATGTTTAGAACTAAGACGCCTTTTTCTCTGATGAAGTTTTGTAGAGCCTTTTCATAAGTTTCTATTTCATCTTTCTTAGATGCTTTTTTGAAATTCAGAAGCAGAACTTTAAAATTTGATCATTTTGTAATAATTGCTTTAATTGGTACAACTTTGATAATTATTTATTTAGATATCTTAATGTAGATAATCTAAATCAGGTAATTTAATAATCACTGATTTAAGTGAGTAATTATTATAAGCAAAATAAAAGTGAGGAAAAGTGCTAAAATCCCTATGTTTTTCATTGTGTTAAAGCATTAAAAAGAGGAGGTAGTGATCATAGCCCTTTATATCCAATAAGGAAAGTAGAAGAACCCTAGTACACAAGGCTAAAATGGAGAGCAAAACTGACCAGAATTTAGGAACTGGATTGGGTTCTTATTGCTTAAGTAAATTAGTGCTTGTGCAAAAAGTGCCACTGGAATCAGGGAGCTTGTTTAATTTGTGTCAGAGTGGTGCAGAATAGAACATACACTTTGTAATCTATAAATTATTTCCATTAGCAACTGATCACAGCAATAAGGGATTGGAAGCTTTGTCAACTGACATAATTCCTTAAATGAGTAGAAACATGCAATTACAACAGACATTTATTTATTTATTGGTCTAAAGTTGGTCTATAATTTCATTTAACATATTCTTTTCTTCTTTTGAGAAAAATTCCTAGTTTTCCTTAACAGATTTTTTTTGGTGCTTTTATCAGATAATCTGGTTATTACAGAAATTGAACACTCCATCAGAAAGACAGAGATTTTAGTTTTATCTTGTATAGGTAAATAGACTGCATTTAAAGAATGAGATGAAAACAGTTCATGTTATCTATGGACTCTAACCATGTTATATCATTTTAATGATTTCCTCACAGTAATAAGTACAAGCTGACAGCAAATTGAATCAAGAAGGTACTCTGAGAAGCATGAAACCATTTCCTCTCTTTCATGGTGTACATTAGAGGTACAGGCTAATCAAGTGGCTCTGACTTTCTCAATAACAGAAGGCACTGTGTTCGAAGCTTACTAAGACAAAGAATAACAGAAAATAGTCTTATGCTGTCCTTAACAAAACAAACACAATATCACATTTCATAATATTGTGTTTTCCAGCACGGACAAAATCAGTCAAAATTTGCTAAGGAAGCCTGGATGATTGTTTTAAATATGTTCTATTGGGTGCATAGACTGAATTTAGATTGAAGGAAATTTAAAGCAACTCCACTGCCTTCTCCAGTGTAATGTAACTATCTCAGATATCCGTCTAAATAAGGACCAGACAACTTCCCATGTGCATTCTTACAGTTCATTAATTACAAGAAACTACCGTATATAATAATCTCATAATGGGACCTTTTGATAGAGAAATGGTACTACAGACATAGAAGTTGTGCTAGTTATATTCACATGTGGCACAATTCTAAAACCTTATTTTGAATGCTACAACTGATTACGACTCCTAAATACATACTTTATTCTTCTATGGCCCTTGGTTCCAGAAAAGCTTACAGGCATAGGAAGATCAAAATCAACATGTAGTTTTCAATATCATTCACACCTTAAAAAAAAATAGACCTCTAGTTTTTGTAGATAACCCTTCATTTGCAAATATTGAGGATAACTGTGAGAGATGCTGAGGACTTCCGATTTCTATTGATTTTAAGGGTTCAGAATGCTCCCTATCTTGCTGAATGCTTTTATCAGTGGTGAGGTTTTCCTTAGGAATGTCTTCTGTCTGTCACCTTCAAAATGAAGAAAACAAAAATGATGAAAATAGAATCATGGGGAAATACAGTGTTTCTGATCAATTTTTTTCATCTCTGTACAAAGCTAAACCTACTAGAGCAGATAAAGCAAGTTTCCATTTTTATCCACCAGTCTCTTAAATATCCACCATCTTAAATACTTCATCCAAAAGGGTGAAGTAATGAATTCATATTTTGTTTATTTGTAAACTTATTATCTAAATCTTTGAAAAAATATGATACATTATTAATTCCTTTGAGTCTGGGCCCAGGTGAATTCACCAGAACCCTAAATTAAAAAAGCTGATGTATAATGCTTATTAAAATAATTAAATAGAAGTAACCTAGTGTTAGTAAGTGTAGCATTTGAGGGAAGTGATAATTATCAGTGGCAGAGCTACAGTTGGTCTTAATGAGAGCTGGCACTAGGAAAAGAAGGATTAGTCTAAACTATACTCTGTAAGCTAGTCATTGATCCTTATTGTAGCCTAATAAAGAACTAAAACAATTCAAAACTGAGCATTCCCATCCATTCCAATAAACTTAAATGCTGAATATTAATATAATCCTGGTGACGGTTAGCAATTAAGCAAGAACCTTCTATCCATGCTATTACAATATGTAATTCTACCTTTGGAATGTAATGACCATTCTTCCTGATTGTTTTCTTTGTCACCAGAATGGTAAGGGATTCATGGTACCAACTGCATGAACTTCCATCTGTCTCTCTGTTTTACTATGCCCTCTGTATTACCAATGTTTTAGAAGTGAGCCTCTTCACATGAAGGGTGCAAAAAACTGTGTAAAATAAAGGATCGAGTTTGCCACCTTGTCTTTTGTTTAAATGGTCATCTGGAAAAATGCAGGACTGGTGCCCTGAAGTCATATGATGGTTTTGAAAATCAGGCCAACAAGCATTGAGTATATCAAGTTGGAAACAATCGGGTTGATTATGCATTCTTAACCCAAGTCTGTTTTGTATCTTGAACTTTAAGGGGAAAAAAAATTCATTTATTGCAGGAAAACAACCTCCATTTGTTAGTCTTTGGTATGTTTCTGTAGTCCTCCATTCTGCCTATGTTTTCACAACCTGTTTATTCATGGGTAACTTCAAAGCAAATAGATAGCAAGGGGGAAGCATATGCCTGGCTGTGTTGGCAACAAACTTGCAAAATGTTTGGTACAAAGTTTTCAAAGCCTCTGTTTTTTTCATTTTTTAAAACTTCTTTTCTCTTCACGCTGTTATGTTCATGTAGTGGTTAAAACAGATAGAGGGAACAGAAGCTGCATTGACACAGAAGATGTTAGATCTGGAGAATGAAAAGGTAAGGAACAATAACTAAAAATATAATTTATTTAGCTAAAACCAATCTCAAGCGGACATGTATAAACTTCACCACAGTTTGATTTGCTGCCTTTCTCTGTTTAACAGAGGGTGCTTCATTGTAAAACAGGCAGGAGTTTTCTAGAACAATTTATTGCTTGTATTCTTTGGGATGGGAGGGAACTGTCAAATCTATATAGAACAGAAGTAGCAAAATAGATTCAAATTGGGAGACAAAAGCATAACCTTACAGAGAATATTAGCCACAAAGTGTGAAATTGTCTTTGTGCTCTTTCTGTATATTAAGTTGTCTGATAACAGCATTGTCTTTTTAATCTTGGAGTCATGTTAGTAGAATTGTCAAGTATATTCCTTTGCTCACTGGTATTCAGCTTCTGGACAAGTTGTAAAGACCTCTTTCTCCAGATGACCTTTCTTGCCCCAAGGTCTTCATGCTTAAAGACAGAATCTTTTCTCAAAAGCACTTCTGTCCTGCATAACAAACCCAGTGCTGTACCGACCTTATTTTTCCGTATGTTGAACAAAGAGTTTTAGAATGAGTGTTTGGTTTTATTGGTTTACCATGCACGCTGTGCTTCTCATCTTCAGATGGTTTTACAAACACTGAATAATCCTTGCCCCACCTTTTCAAGGTAGATAAGTAATCAGCATTACATTAATCTTAAAGAACAGAAAACCGAGACAGGAAGGTTAAGTGATTTGCCCAGGGCCACTGAAGAAGTGTGTGTTTGGGCCACAATCAAAAAAAGAAGTGCTCAGACTGTCCTCTGTTGAGTGTAGCCTATCGTACTGGTTGTACTTTAACATAGATATGATCCTTTCCACATTTAATATTTCTTTATTTTTAACTCTTGTGGAAAAACTTTTGGAGAGGGAAAATGCCCACCAATAATAGATTCTTTTATAAAAGGAATTTGAAAACACTAGTTTCTTTGTAAATTGGCTTATTATCTTCCCACTTATTTTCTGTGGTGTTTTCAAGCCTTACTCTGGATAGTCTTATATCTATTTGTTTAGCATAGCAATCTGAGTGTCTGCATTTCCAATGACTGACTCAATTGTGAAATGAGTTTAGAAATAATATTCTAGCACAACACTTTCAGAAGGGCTGAACACTGGTTTAGTTGTCCTGGGAACCCATGTTAAGAGTTTGAGATCCTATTCTTGTTTTCTTCCCCCTTGCTTTTTGTAGCCAGCTTTTACAATAGCTTTTGAAGAAACAACATGATCGGGGCAACTGCATTGCTATTCTGGGATCTGTTAGTAGCTCTGACCCTCTCTGTAGTCTTGGGCAAGTCAGTCTACTTCTCTGGTGTCAGACACTTGTAAGCATTTTAGGACCAGGCCCATCCTTCACTATGCATTACACAGTGCGTGGTGGTATTGCATCTTGAACAACAGCCGTGTAGCTGTTGCTGTAATCCATGTAAGAAAATAATGACACCTGGGTAGTCAAAATGGCATTCAGTTGCATAAACATGGTGTCTGATGCCATATTACACTTTTCTAGAGATGTCCACAAGGGGTTAAATATGTCCTACAGGACCTGTTGGAGACCCCTACCCTTCTGGACCAGCATCTGAAGTAGCATACTCTAAAATGGCTATAATAGCAATAGATGCCCATCTGTGTATATCTGAATTCCAACCCCAAGATCAAAGCCTAACTTAAACTTTTGTTATACTTTCAATATTAATTCATAGGTAATTAAAAGAACTCCAAGTTTACAGAAAAAAAAAAATATAGTTCTTCTACAGAGAACAAATAGCAACTTACTCCTCTGAATTCTCTAATATTGGTCTTGTATGTTGCTGCTGTCACCAACTATGAGTTGTTCTTAACAAGTGGGAGGTTATCTGTAGTTATTTTATGCTGAGCCCCTCAAGCATTAATTTGCTGATCAGAATGAATTTGTTTAAAACCAGATGTTTGGAGTGAGAATTCATCATCTGGTGCATGCTCAGGTAAATTCTATGCCAGTGTTACACTGACAGCTGGCAGAAAAACTGTCAGAATTCCACATAATATGTCTGAAGGTAAGATTTGGCCAAATAAGTGACTTCACAGCAACCCCATATCCAATAAAACTAACCAGACTGGCAACATTTGATTTTTTTACACTTCTAATAAAAGCTACAACTTATCATCTTAAGAACCGAATGTATTTAATTTGGCATTTATTCTATATGTTGAGGAAATGAAAGAGTTTGATGAATAGAAAAAAGAATGATGGAAAATATTAAATTCAGTCAAAGGGCTTCTCTGATTTTTGGTCTACTACTAATTTTATTGAGCATGAAAACCTGCCTTGAAAGAAAAGCTAATAAAATTAAGTAACTATTTTATGTTCTACTTCCTATCATCCCAAACATCTAAAGGCATGTTTTGCAAGAGCACTGTCACCAGTCAGTTATCACTTGACTATTCAGACAAGCATTTAAATGTCTGTAACTTTCTTGCAGCATCATGCTTTTGGATACTGAGTTCCACTGAGATCCCGTTTTTATACATTTATTTTTCTGTGTGTGTTTTATAAAAATATATATAAAAAACTGTGAAAGTTGGTGATTTTTATTTTTAAAAACAAAAGCAAAAAATCCCTGTAAGTCCTAGGTATCTTGAAAAATTCTTCATCTCTTCAGCTAGCCACTTAACCTCTCTGGGCATCACTTTACCCATTTCAAATTGGCTTCCTGCCTTTACAAGTTGAGAACTGAATTTTTATTTCTGCTTTAGTACTGCATCAGGGAATGTGACAGCAGAACACAGCTGCAGCCCTTCATGTTCTGGTTTCCTCCCTAAAACAGACCAGACAATACAGATTGGGGTTTGCCCCATGATTTCCTTAAGGGTACACCCTGGATATTTTCAGAAAAGCCATAAAGTGCCCTCACTTGTGTTTCTCTTTTCCCTTCCTTGGCTTGCCCTGTGCAAGTTATGGTTGTTGGACCACATGGATGCACATTCCTATTCACCTTTCAGGCGGTGTGTGCACTTCTGTCAGGTCAAGGCAGGTTTATACACTGGTGTAGAGGTCTATGCTTTCTAGGTACCACTTGTTAATATGATACACATATTTTAAATGCTAATATGGTAAATTTGAAATTCCAAATATCCTTAGGATGAATGTGGTCATTTGCTATAGATTTGCTTTCATGTGGAAAGCTCACATAAAAATGATGGCATTTATGATTCTTCATTGAATTAGGATAAAGAACAAACACTCCCTTGTTTTTATTATTGCTCAGGACCTGTTCAGTAAACAGAAGGGTTATTTAGAGGAAGAACTCGACTACAGGAAACAAGCTCTGGACCAGGCATACATGGTAGGAAAAGAACAGTCATTAAATTTTCATGTTTGAACAGATTTGATAAAATACAGGTTGTGTTTTGTTTTTTTTTTTTTAATTATAAACAGGGTTCTTTTTTAATGGATTTATTTTTCTGTCAGACTAGGAAATAAACTATTACTTAAATAGAGACTTAGGAAATGGATTTATAGAAGTGTAATGTTTTTTCATTGCATTTTTTACTCTAAAATATGTGAACATCTTGTTAGTACACCTGTAATGGGAAGAGCTGGTTTATGTGTGCACAAAACCATGGCTGGTAAAATACACCAGAAATTACTTGAGAACATTTCCTGTATTGCTTTTCCCTAAGCATTTGTAAATATTGCTGCTGCTAACTTCTAAGTCGGGAATACCTGTTCCTCCTACGCGATTCCTTCCTGTGCGGTCCTATCTAACCTTACCTTTTGTAGTTCTCAAAAGGGACACTGCAAACTTGCCTTCTCTCAGGCTAAGCAACAATTAGGGATTATCTAGGAATTAGTAAAACTGCACACCCAAGTTTGTTCATAGTGAGACTTCAGGGAATCAAAATATAATGGCCTGAAGAATTATTTATGCATTGTAAATATTTCTTATGGAGAAAATATTTTCAGAAAAGAAGCAAGGTCTTGTGCTCGGAGCAGATAACAGAGATAAAAGCAAGCAGGCTCTATAGCTAGCATTGTGACCTTGGGCAAGCCATTTAACCTCTCTGTGCAGCTGTTTATGCATCACTAATATGGATAGAATTACCTACCTCACAAAGGTGTTATGAGGGCTAAAGGGATGTTGTCAGATGCTCTTGATCCAAATATTGTCAGTCTGGATAATGGTTTTTAATAGGATCATACTAACCTCACTAATCAGGGAAAAACTCTTTGGTCTTGGGAATAGTTTTCCGTATGAATGTAAAGTTCTCCTGTGCTCTCTGCTTCACAAAGTACTGCAGTTTTGGTTAATCCATGAGAATCTGGTTAGGAATCTGGCAAATGGCAAGAGACAGATGGGGGATTAGTGTATACAAGGGTTCCTCTCTTCATTGTTTATGGCAACTCGGAACTAAGCCAGTGATGGAGACTGAGCAATGGATGGCAGGACATTAGGGCCAGAGAGGGAGACAGTAAGATTTCTGTTGTTCACAGTTCTCCCTGTGGGCTTTTTATTTTATAGGATGGTTTAACAATTCAGTTGCAGTTGAAGGGAATCTGTTAGCTGACATTAATTTTGTAACATTCAGTGTCAGAGGTTGGGGGTTTGTATGTATTGAGCACAGACCTGTCATCTGAATCTTTTTTAAATAGAAGAAATCAATCACTTACTAGAATGGGAGGCATTGCCTGGGTGTAAATCAGTGCTAGAAGGCTATGTGCCCTCTGTGTGGAATGCTCCTCACTGCTCACAACTGCTGCTTTCTGTCTACCTGTCTGTGTCCGTCCTTCCCTCCTGCCTAAGGCTTCGCTTGCTAGCCTTCTCCTCTAGCTGTTGGTGAGTCGTTTGCTTGCTGGATTCAAATGGCAGCCTGTCTGTATGTGATTTGGGTTGCATTAGAAAATCCAGGAGCTGGAAGCTACGCTGTATAATGCCCTGCAGCAGGATCCAGGAAGGCGGGCAAGTGAGTCGCTGACTGAAGCCCAGAGGGAGGATTTGCGAGCTGCAGTGGACAAGGTGCGGCGGCAGATCCTGAGGCAGAGCCGTGAGTTTGACAGCCAGATCTTACATGAGCGAATGGAGCTGCTGCAGCAGGCACAGCAGGTAAACCTGGTTCTCTCTCCTCCCCCTTGTTAGTGTTGCCTCTGTGGTTGCTGCCACTGCCCGTACAACAGCATCACTTCACCCTCACCTCGTTGAGTTACACTTAGTCTACTCTTTGTGTTGCTCCCATGTCAAGGAGACAAGCAGTGTTAGGACCTGGTTGTGTTGGGCATGGTGCACACACAAAACTAGTCACTGTCTCACTGCAGGGTCCTGTTGCACAATCTGTTTCATGTGTGTACAGCCACACAGTCTTTCACAGGACTGACTCTGTGGGGAGCTTGTTGCAAGTTTAATGCCTAAATTAGAAAAAGGTGGAATGAAAGTTGCAAGAGTATGGCATTCATATAAAAGAGGGAAGGCAAAAGCAGTAATTACAGGAGTCATTTGTTTCTCCCTTTTATTTCTTTAAATTTTTTTATTTATTTTTTTAAAAGAGGAAATCATAGGAAGTCTTTTAAGAGGCCATTTGCAAACCTTCATGCCTTTAAAGTAGTTCAGAAAAGCCTTGTTTAAGTCACTTCCTTAAGGACAAATACAACTTGAATTGGACAAGTTCCTGGCAGAACTTGTGGTAATAATTTACTGAAGAATCATTTGGTAGGATTACTAGTTTTTCTGGAAAAAATGTCCAGAGAAAAGATAGCTGCATGTCTCAGGGTGTTAATTATTCCAGCAGGAATAATCATTCCTAAGATTTTGTTTCTTCTTTATAGTAACCTCTGGAAGATGCAGCCAGATGTCTTAGATCTTGAGGACTGCCCTCTACTTGCTCTTGCTACTTTCAGTGCAAACCTGGAATCACATACTGTAAATGCCAAACTATACTATGCAGATGTGTTCAGGATGTTATCTCAGATGCTGGTTCTGGGGCAAGAACTGTGTTTAGTTTAGTTCAAGCCTCTTTCTATTCAGGTTGGCTTTGTAGGTGAATATAGACTACAACTGATGTAATGTAGTGACCTCGCACTGTTGTGTTCATCTCCTGTCATCCTGCAGTGATGAGAGGTGCTTATGGTGCCAGTGTTAGAAGTGAGCTCTGACTTCCAAGAAGTCTCTTTTCTCTTACTCCTTCACTGTGTTTCCTGGGTTTGGAACATGTAACATTGAGGTCAGGAGATGAATTTTTTTAATGGGTGTCAGATCAGCAATGGTGTACAGAAAGCTGGATAAGGTAAGCATCAGCTGGTGCTGTGTCAGAAAGAATAGAGTAAATATATGACATTTGGTAAATAAGGATGGAGTCAGAAGGTACTAGCTTAAAATTATTGGTGTGGTTGAAAATTTGTGAGTGGTGTCTTGGGTTTTTTTTGCCAGCCTTTCAGACAGTTGAGTTTCCTAGCCAGATATCAGGGGTTTAACCTGGACTATGTTTCATTTAGTCCCATGGACTGCTCACCATCAGTCAGAGCACTTTAGGTGTACTTCTGGAGCACATCTTCAGTTAAGTCCAGTTCATGTATTCACAGATTGTCCACAACATAAAATTAAACACTGAGTGTGGAAGAAAACTTCGCTCCTGCTCTGAACAAAAATGCGAGCATAAACATAAAATCATTAACCATGGGTATTTAAGTACCTGTCTCTAGATCCATTTTATACTGTGTCATTGGAGTTTTGTGTTGTGCCCACCTCATTAGACATGCTAATGTTAACAGCCCTGCAGGACACTTTAAACTGAATTCTACTGCTTAATAAGGAACTAAGTATTTTAGTCACCTATTTTTAATCCCTCTTATTAGACAGGAAAAGCAAAGGCAAAGATGGTAGTTAAATTGCCTGAGGTGTGGGAGATTAACAGATTGCATTTGAAATCTTTGCTGTTTCTTCTTCTCAGTTGTTTTCTTCTTGAAGGTTGTATTTGAGGGTCCTTATGGGACCAGTGATCAACACCGATAACATAGTTGTACGCAAATGTCCACAGCTTAAAAACAAACAAGCCTCTGAATCACAGGGCTAATTCTCATAAAATTACATTCATCTACACTACCAGATGACAGCAGATGAAATGCTACAAAATTTAGATTGTACCTGTGTTGGCAGAATCCTAAGGTATGGATGAAGCTGCTCTAAGTGTAGTACATCCCTAGGTTCTACATTACATTTTCTTTTGCTGACATTGTGGCATTGGCAAACACTTTATTCTGGCAAAACAGTAGTCTAGACCTGGTCATATTTGTACAGTCTGCAGTGTCCTTACAATATGCACCACCCTTCTTACTCTGCTGACGTGGAGGTTACAGAGAATGGTACAACATCATGATGGACCTGCGAGACCTAGTACAGAATGCCCTGGTTGCAAACACTTTCAAACTTTCCCTGAAATGGAAACCATGTATTAAAGACTCAAAATTCTCTGAAACTCTGGAAGTTTGATCACTTCCAGAAGGCCTGCTTCCATTACCTTCTGGTCTGCCTGATACAAGGGCTTCAAAAGAACAACTCTGCTTATCCTGGCGAGCTGGCTACAGCCTTCTCTGAGCCAGAGTTTGTGTGTCAGACATACGGAGTAACAGTCCAAGAAGATATGAGGATGTAGAAGTGGAGTTCTCTCCTTTTGCATGTAAACGATCCTTGACCATACTGCAGGATGCAGAAGTGCCAAGGCATGTGATGAACACTGCGGGTAGGTCTGCACGGTTTCATTATAGGAGAACTGCTTCATGCAGAGACTTTGGGGAGTTAGCTCATGAGATGCTGGTTTTACAGAGCAGGTAAAAGTTCTTGCTTGGGAATGTACTATCAGAAAAGAACAGGGACGTGCATAAAGAATGGGTAAACGTCCAAATGTGAGCCTCTGCTGCTTTATGTGTGCTTCTTTGTCCAGATATAAACCCTTAGTTCTTAGCCAATGTCTATTCACTTTGTTCCAGTGAAATAAATGTATTTTAGGATGTTATGCCCTGTCTTACACCGGTAGGCCTGTTCATCTTGGTCAAGTATAGCCCCACATTATTATTGTTTATTAGCATATCAGTGGAACCATTTGTGTATACCTGTTGTATAAAGAAACCAGGCCTCTGTGGAGCCAAATTAGACAGACTGTGTGACTGGATCTGCTTGCTAAGGCATACAGTGCTTTTATCAAACCCAGAGTGCAACATGCAGATCCGGGGGACAGGTCCTCAGCTGAAGCATGTTCACAATACTCCCTTTAAGTCAGAGAAGGTGCTTTGATTTACACCATCCTCTCTATTTGGAGAAGGCAAAATATGTTAATTAAAAATCTGTCATGAACAGCTTGTGATATTTGCTTCGAGCCATAGGGCATGTGCAGTTCAATTGCTGTTCCTGCATATATTGCCATCAAAAATGTCTCATTGTGCTACACCGTTATAAGCTTTTGTAAAACGGTGTCTGGTTTATTTTTAGCACAACTTAATTTAAAAGTAACATTTGCGCTCTAGTCAGTGAAGTGACGTGACTTTTGTGCATTTTGGAAGATCACTACTGCCCAGTTCTGTTAAGAAGGATAATTTTACATATATATGTGTATATATATATATATATATATACACTAAGCCATTTCTAGAGAGAAAAAGGTGTTGGTGTAGCTATGAAAACATCTCTGAAAAAGAATATTTCAAATGGAACAATACAATGTGTTTTTGAGTTACTGATATCTACTTCTCAATTAAGCAAAGTCAACCCCCCACCAAGAAAAAACTGCCCCCCCCCCAAAAAA